GCTACCCAAGTTATGAAAAAGAATTGAATATCACTACATAGTACAAAACAAAGTCGTCCCGCTGTCTGTCTGTCCCTATGTTCGCTTAGATCTTTACTACGCAATGGATCTTGATGCGGTTTTTTTTACTAGATAGAGTGATTCCAGAGGAAAGTTTATATGTACAATTCATGCATAACGTAGTAGAGAAAAACTGATAATTGTATAGGTTTCTAATGCGATGTCCAAAAAAAATATTCAGCATTGGACCCGTGCAACTTATATAAACATAATTATCCGTAAAATAGAGGTATTTTGTTTCAGTTAAAGAGTACGTAAAAAAAAAAAAAAAACAAAATACCGCGAAAAGCCCGTCTCCTATTGGTCAAGCGTGAAGGTCGTGCCAAAATGGCGCCGACAGCGTTTTTGCGTCTAACAATCGCCACTAAAAAAAAAAGCGCTCTATTCGCTTGCAGACGTTTTGTTTATAGGAATCGTTCGTTTTTAGTGGTGTTTTATTTTTAAACTGGCCCTCTCGCCCGTGCGTAGACGAATGTACTTGGAAGTTTTCGTACCGCGATGTGGTTCTTTTTAGGGCTCCACACCCATAGGGTGAAACGGGACCCTATTACTGAGACTCCGCTCTATGTCTGTATGTTTGTCCGTCTGTCACCAGGCTGTATCTCGTGAACCGTGATAGTTAGACAGTTGAAATTTTCACAGATGATTTCTCTTGCGCTATAACAACGAATGCTAAAAAGACAGAATTTAAAATATTAAAGTGGCATGATTTTTTTTGCGTTTGTTATAGATAATGGAGCCCTTCGTGCGCGAGTCCGACTCGCACTTGGCCAGTTTTTAATTTTTTTATGTTAGAAGATGGCAAGCGAGCTGACGGTTCGCCCGATGTTACTTGATAACCGCTGCCCATGGACATTTGCAACACCCGTATTGTTGCAAATGCGTTGCCACCTTTTAATAAAGTGCGCCCCGGCTACCTCACTCACCAGACGAAAGGCAGAAGTGTAACACTTCCACTTCACGCCGGTCTTCTGTTAGGTCGCGGTACTTCCCCGGACGGACCATCCCATTCCTTCAACAACGAACGTAACAATCAAACTTATTTGTCTGTCTCATGTATGGTCTTTAAAACTATATATATATATAGATCTTTAAAACTGCGCAACGGATCTTGATGTGTTTTTTTACTAGATAGAGTGATTCAAGAGGAAGGTTTATATGTATAATACATTGCACCCTTGCGAAGCAGGGGCGGATCGCTAGTTTATAATATTATAGTAGGGATTATATATTAATGTTAGCCCATTCATTTATTTGTGACGTATGAGCGGTCAACTAAACAGTTGTCGGTGTGTGGTAACCTCTAGTGGCAGCACCAGAGATCAAGACCCAAATCCATTAGTTAACTTTAACTCTGACTTAAAGCGTTAGAGCTTGGTTAACTCGCTCACGCGAAACCGCAGACGGCGTTCAAAAAAATTTACAGTAAATCCCGTTACGATTAAGTGGTTCGGATAGAAAAAAAACGCTTCGTCCACGACTACCACAATAGAGGGATTACGCATTGTCTACACCCCGAGGGTGGCAGAAGGGTTTTAGTCCGCCACCGCCGTTATCTTACCTCGACGCGTCGATTGTCACGGGCGATATCGCTTACTTAATGCATTGTCTACGGCCAATGCGTTTGTCTATGGTCGTTAAACAAGTTCATTTTTACTTGTTTTATTTATTAAGGCTTACCAACTAAATATAAACAGAACATTGACTTACAAAGAGGTTTAAACTTAACCATTTTCACTTCACTCAATCACTTTAACGGTGGTAGAGCCACGCAGTGAGGTAGCAGCCTCACCAGACGAAACGCGAAATACTTCCGCGTTTCGTCTGGTGAGTGAGGTAGCCGGAGCCCAATTTCCAAAAAGGTTGTCAACGCATCTGCAAACCCTGGGGTGTAGCAGATGTTCATGGGCGGCGGTATTCACTTAACATCAGGTGAACCGTCAGCTCGTTTGGCAACTTTTCACATTAAAAAAAAAATCATAAGGTGAGCATGATGGCTCATTGTGCCCGGACTCGCCTTTAATTCGATGTACTCCAGCGACCTGCGTTGGATCCCCTGGATTAAGTGCTGACTTAACACGTGCTCGGCGGTGAAGGAAAACATCGTGAGGAAACCTGCATACTTTCGAAATAACAACAAAAGAAAATGTTTCGAAGATATGTGTGTACCAATCCGCAGTGGGGTCGCGTGGACTGGGTCCTGATGCCGTCAGTACCGAGGAGGCCCTTGCCCAGCAGTGGGACATACATGTACATTAATGTTTAAATTACAAACAAACGCACACGAAATTAAGGTGTTTGATTAATCCTTACTTCCTTACTAATATTATAAAAGCGAAACATTGTATGGTACATACATACAAAGTTTGGATAAATGGATGGATGTTTGTTACTCTTTCACGCAAGTACTACTGAATAGATTCTAACGAAACTTTACATTAATATAGTTTAAACATCAGAATAAGACATAGGCTATAATTTATAAACATATTTTTATGTATATCTGTCTTTCTGTCTGAATGTTACGCGTTATTCTGCGCAGAAGTAGTCGCGGGCAGCAGCTAGTTAGTACTGTAGCTCGCATTTTTGGCCTAGATCTACACGTCCATAGGACCTAAAGTTTCGTTAAAATTTCACATTTGAATTTACACCTATACTATCCACAATTATTGAGAATTCTATTTAAAAACCCATCTCTGTGATACGGGCACGTAGAATAGCCAATACTTAAATCCTGCAGTCAGATGTTGTGTACGTCCATGAGCGGTAGTAATCACTAAATATCACGTGAACTGCCCGCTCGCTTGCCGACTTATCACACATCTGGTATATTGGTCCAGCATTGGGCGGTTTCTGTGTGATAAGAAGACACAGAGGACCGGCGAAGTGGTAGTGTTAAACTTCTGAGTTTCGTCTGGTGTGTGAGGTATCTAGGGCCCTTTTATTGAAAGGTGGCAACACATTTGTAACCCTACATTGGGTGTTTCAAATGTCCAGCCAGTGTTCTTACTTAAAAACAACCGGCCAAGTGCGCGTCGGACTGGCGCAAGAAGGGTTCCGTACCGTTATCTATAAAATAAACTTAATTAAGCTTAATTAACTTAAATAAACTAATTGGTAAGTGACTGACTGACTACTGGTAGTTGCCTAGCAACCGTCTCGCGTTTGTAGTAGGGGAGCCCCACTTAAATACTTTTTTATTCTGTTTTTTACTGCACTTATAGCGGCAATAGAAATACATCATCTGTAAAAATTTCGACTGTCTAACTATCACGGTTCATGAGATACAGCCTGTTGACAGACAGACAGCGGAGTCTCAGTAATAAGGTCCCGCTTTACCCTTTGGTACGGAGCCCCAAAGAGACCAACTGCGGAGTCTTTGTTCCATCGCCACTAATGCCCAAGTGGCCGGCATACCGTCAACTTTAATTCTAATCCCCACACCCTTCGCTACCGTGCCCCATTGTCTCGGGTTCGACTCCGGGACGCGCTCGACGCTAAACGGATTACTACCGGACGCTTTTGTGCCCTTTTTGGTCGTAAAACCACCGTTTAACTTGTGCTTTGGTCAACTTAACAGTCGGCGGGGGCCGTCCGTTCGCGTATTGTTCACTATCGGCGCTGTTTTCTTTTGTTTTAGAATAGAATAGACCATACTTTATCGCATACAGGGTTATACAGAAAAGGGAAACACAGTAAACTCTAAAACTGTATTACATAGTACGCGTTATGAATTGATGTTTTATGTCGTTAACGCTATCGCCGAATAACAATCTGTTATTCGACTTGTTTCACTGTGGTAGGGCCACGTAGCAGCCTCGGCTGTTGCCCGAACGGGCAGGCTCGTCCGGGTAAGTACCACGACCTCACAGAAGACCAGCGTAAAGTGGAAGTATGACAAATACTTTCGCGTTTCGTCTGGTGAGTTAGGTACCCGGAGCCCAATTTTTAAAAGGCTGTCAACGCATCTGTAACACTCGGGTGAAGCAGATGTCCATGGGCGGCGGTAGTCACTTAACATCAGGTGAACCGCCAGCTCGCTCGCCATTTTCTTACTTAAAAAATTATTGTACGAAAGTGATGAATGAAATACAATAAAAAAGATTGATAACCTCAAAGCTCAAAATCGAGTGGATTTTTTGACGGAACTTTCTTTCATTGCCACATATTAGTATATAATACGTTTAAAGGTATAAGATATTATTAGTTTATATTGTATATATATATATATATATATATATATACATACATAATCGGAATCTCGGAAACGGCTCTAGCGATTTTCATGAAATTTAGTATGTGCGTAGATTCGGGTGCGAAAAATCGATCTAGCTAGGTTTTATTTGTAGAAAATGAGACTTGAAATTTGGTAGGAATATTTCTTCCGCCGAGTAGAGGTCAGCTAAGACCGGATAAAATGTTACCCGTTGAGTCCCTTGTTAATTATACATGGTAGTGTGTGTAGTTTTTGTTTTTATTGATTTATTTTAATGTAAGGTCGCGTTCGCTTCTGTGTGGTCGCGGTACTTACCCGGACGGAACCGCCCAATCGTGCAACAGCGAACACTGTTGCGTGGCCCCACCACAGTTATACTATACACCAGTCTTTTTTTATGTGAAAAGTTGCCAAGCGAGCTGACGGTTCACCAGATGATAAGTGAATACCGTCGCCCATGGACATCCACTACACCCGAGGGTTGCAGATGCGTTGACAACCTTTTGAAAATTGGGCTCCGGCCACCTCACTCACCTGACGAAACGCGAAAGTATTATACTTCCACTTTACGCCGGTCTTCTGTGAGGTCGTGGTACTTACCCGAACGAGCCTGCCCATTCGTGCAACAGCCGAGGCTGCTGCGTGGCGTTACCACCGTTAGATATTCTGTCGAGGGAGACTTTTCTTATCAATACGAAGCCCTGACGCCTCCCCTCGGTTTCAGGTGAATACGTGATCCAAGGCGAGCTGCCCCGAGAGCTGGTCGGCAGCGAGGAGTCCAGGTTCGACCTGCTCGAGGAGGCTCTGCAGCTCGTCGAGCTAGGTGACGAGGCGGAGACGAAGGATGAACAACCAGAGGTGGGTTTAGTTCATAGAAGGTTCTAGAACAAGTGCTATCCAGCGAAGTTTCTAGAACAGCGATGGACGCCGATTGGCCGACGAATGGTGAGGTGTGGCAGAAGGGGGTTAGGAAAGAGGAATCTGAGTTAGCTCTGTCCGCGAAGATTCCAGATCAAGTGGACGCAAATGACGAAGCATATGATCCGACGAAGCTTCCAGAATTGGAATGGATGCGGAATCTAACTTTTGGCAAAGATTGGAGAGAGGAAAGTGGAATGACAGTTAGCTTCTCCGACGGAGATTTCTAATCACGATGCAAATCGTTTGATGAGCTTAAACAATTTATTCCAGAACAAGGGAGGATGCTCATGAATGACGATAGTTCGTAGGTATGGGTGAAAAAGGATGATGAATCACAGTTAATTGATAGAATTCAGTGATACGTTTAAAATATAAGAAAGGCGCGATTTGAGGAATTTTAAAAATCATTCGAGAGCGTTGGTTAAAGCGTCTGTTGTGCGTTCAATGTATTGTATTTTTCTTAATCGTTACAACTGCCTTATGATACTGGAAATCGTTAAGAACTAAAACCCATAGGATAGGCATTGGCTAGTGTGGGGGTCAGAAAGAAATTAAAATGTTATTAGGCTTCTTCTGTGTAAGATTATTATTATTATGTTACGGTTTTGAAACTGCGGCAGCGAGCCTTTGACCAGTGAAGACGTTCGACCTTGGCTGTGTCTAAAGTTCACCCTTCGCTTCTACCGCCATCTTGAATTTGACACTTAACTACCTTCGCACAAACTGCGATTGGTGAACTTTACCATGCCCTTCGCTTCTACCGCCATCTTGACTTTGACCCTACCTTCGCACAGACTCGCCCGATGACATTACCGATGGCCTCGACTTTCGACTCAGTTTTCACCTTGAGTTTGACCTCGCCGCATTCGGCTTCGTTGACCTTGACTTTGACCTTGCCGCAGGCGGTAGAGGGCAGCAGCAGCGGCGGCGACATGCTACACCCGGCGATGCGGCACGTGCCGCACCACCCACTCGCCCACTACCACAACCAGGTCAGTACCACCGGCCGCCATTGCAGGAGACCCAGCGGGATACAACAACACGGATCGTTGTCGCTGGCAACACTGTACACCGGATATGACGTTAACTACCCGAGCGAAGGGACACATGGTCGCATGGAGCGGCGGTAACTTGCTTTTCGGCTGCGTTCCCAGACGGTGATATAACCACTAGTGCTGCTTGACGTTATAATAGTTGTTAATATTCAAGTTCAGAAATAGTTTAAATATTAGAATCAAAGTAAAAACGTTAGAACTCTTATAGGATGTCAAGGAAGCTTAGGAATTAAAAATTCAACGCAAACTTGCTAAATGTTTCTCATTCAGAACATTTTGCTTTGAATTTAGTAAATTTTAGTGGGTTTTTGAATTGCTTTAGGAGTATTTTATTTTGAACATTGGTAGCAATCTTGGTGACGGCGCTGATCAACTTTTCGTCCACTTTCTCTGCTAATTTTAATGTTTCATCTTAAGTGCAGAGATTATAACTATAAAAATTTTAATTTCCAATATAGCAATAGCGACATCTCTCGTTCTAATTATCGTTATAAAACGATATTCGAAATTGTTTATTTGCTGTAAAGGGTGTAACAATGGATGCGCCAAGCATTGCTTAATATGCAAAAAAACATAAAATACGTTGAGATTTTCGTCGGTGTGGCAATCGGCCGTTTAGCTTAGTGATTAAAGCGTCTGGCCACGAATCCAGAAGACGAGGTTTCGATTCTCGCAGCGGCAAAAAGATTTTTATCAATTTTTTCTACAACATATCGCAATATCGCCATCGATTTTAAATAGAGGAGTCATCGAATGAGAATAACGATGGATTCCTTTTACAAGTGTCGGTGACAAGTCGGGCCCACTGTCACGAGTAAAAAAGGACACGTGTTTTTAATATAAAACCTCTGTTTAGGTTGACAAATGATCGGTCCACGTTTGGAGCGAGTACCGCACACGAAGTCTAGCGACGCGTGGGTTGAGTCATGAGCGTTTAGCGGGCGGGAAACGCCTGTTACTTACACCACTTTATACGTGTGGAGGGCTGAGATGGGATCTAGAACTCGCTCGGCTTCAGTCCGTGATATAGTTTTATGATTAGTTCTTTTATGTCCACATTTTCTCCTATGTTGTTTAAGTCTGACCGATTATCGACTACAGTGGTTAATAAAGATGTATTTATTACTACCGACCCGCCTCGGCTTCGCACGGGTGCAATGTATTATACATATAAACCTCCCTCGTGAATTACTCTATCTAGTAAAAAAATCGCATCAAGATCCGTCGCGTAGTTTTAAAGAACTAAGCATAGATAAGGACAGACAGACAGTGGGACGACTTTGTTTTGTACTATTTTATGACTGTGAATTTGCTTATACAAGTCACAAATTAAGATCATGTGATAATCAATTCGACAGGACAAAATGGAATAAATAAATAATCGCTGCCAAGGTGCTTTAAGTTAGTTATCGTTTCTACATTTTGTATAAGTGTCGTAAAATCTTTCCATATTATGCTTATTTTAATATGGAAAGAGAGAGATAGATTGTATCTGCATCTCAATTAATTAAGCAAGAGTCATTGAGATAATAGTACTAAGTACTGAATATGTTTTGTCGTCTTCGGTAAGATAAGCTGTAACTTAATCAAGTGGGACTTAATTTTAATCATTTAAATAAGTGCTCATGATTGAGAAAACTTAAGTACTTAAATTCTAGTCTTTTGGCATGGCCAGTAACTGACGAAACCACTCAGAGTCTCATACTGCTGAAAAAAGATGAGGCAACCAACTCAAAGACGAGTCACCTTGACGGTGACCCCTGTTGACTGTGACATTGAGATTTAAAACGCTTCAGCCTGTACCTTGCAGCGACAGAGACGTCAGAGATCAAATCGATGCACTTATGGTATCCACTACTACTCCATTGGCGTAGTGGATAGCGAATCTGTCTTGTCTAGAGTTCATGAGTTCGATTCCTATAACTGGAAAAAGTATTCTGTTCTTGACATAGTGTCTTTATAGTTACTGTGTGTTTATGTATCTTATTAATTAAGATATCGATATCCGAAGATATCGATAGAGATATCTGGTATGTTTATCAGTTACAAAGTACCCACTACAAGTTAAGCTGACGAATATATAATGTTGTATGTTCAGAAATATTACCATAAAAAAATATTTGCGATTTTATTATCCGCTACCTCTTGTCGCTTGCGCAAAATATCGACGCGCCGCAACATAGAATTTGAGGACGCGCATTCATTTATCAAGAAATCGGTTGGCGGCGGTTTTGAATCGTTACGACAAATTGTTTGGACTTCTCGCATATAGATAACTGTAGTGAGGTAGCACTGCGTGGGAGATAATAATTATCTATCTATTTATTTATCCTTTATTGAATTTTAGATAAACATCTACACCCTTAATACGATATACAGAGAACGGACTCAATGCCATTTGGAAGTCCCTATAAATATTTCGAAGATACGTGAAGTCCGCCAGTCTACAGTGGGGTCCCTTGGTGGAGTATGCCCTAATACCCTCTGCACAGATGAGGCCTTTGTCCAGCAGTGGGACATATATAGACTGTCACTTTACAACCCAGAGCGCGGTAGGTGGAATAATTTCACTTTCAAGTTAAAGGTGAAAACATCAGGTGAACAGCAGGCTAGCTTGTCTCAAATAAAAAAAATACCGATGGCTCTGGACAGCGCTTCGCGACTGTTTTTAGGGAGGCCTATGTTCAGCAGTGGACTCAAACATGCTGAAACGATGAGGTACCCATCGGTGTTAACGGTGAAATGATTATGACGTACCCATCGCTATAAATGGGTGGCGGTAATTTACCAACCTTTTACCAACATTAAAAGAGGTAAAATTCCGAATAATAAAAAAAGTTGAAACTTAACGTAAATTTTGGTTATTACAATTTTTCGCGAAAATCCAAATTTGCCCATATCTTTTTATCGTGTTGACTCGGGACCTTCATTTCAGGTCTATAGTCACCTAATATGTACTATATACGTCAGTATCTGGTATACATTTCAACTTGCTAGGTCCACCGTTTCCTGAGAAAATCGGTGGTGACACACAGACAGACAGACAGACGGACAGGAGAGTGATCTTATAAGGGTTTCCTTTGTTTACCTTTTGAGGTACGGAACCTTAAAAAGGAAACTAGGCGCACAATAAAATCGAATTATGCGTTATTATTGAACCGTATTTTCGTTAGTAGTCAATTGGGGTAGGGCGAAGGAAAAAAACTCCAGCCCACGATCTGTAATCACGTCGGGCTGTCAACGTTGTTTATCTTGACGCGGAATTTCAAATATTCCAACAAGCAAACTGCTGTTTGGCCAGTACAGTAGCCATTGCACACGCTCGGTCTAGGGCTGTGTCTACAATATATCGATAATGTCATTTTTTTATGTGAAAAGTTTCCTAGCGAGCAGGCGGTTCACCTGATGTTAAGTGAATACCGCCGCCCATGGACATCTGCTACACCCGAGGGTTGCAGATGCGTTGACGACCTTTTGAAAATTGGGCCCCGGCCACCTCACTCACCAGACGAAACGCGAAAGTATTATACTTCCACTTCGCGCCGGTCTTCTGTGAGGTCGTGGTAATTACCCGGAAGGACCTGCCCATTCGTGCAACAGTGGATACTGTTGCGTGGCCCTACCACAGTTGCTCTTATATTATTTCTCGATTTTCTGAAGTCCATCGTCTCCCGTATAGACATCTTTTGCGGTACATTCACTTACATGGAAATACATTACTTAAACCCGTACCGAAACTTAGACGGTACACATTTTTAGATATATGTATGTAATTATAGCAGAATTTTACAAAACACATCTGTGTTTGAAAAAATGTTCTAGTACCTAGGTAGATACTAAAAACAGGACATTTTTTCTGTTCTGTTTTTTAATATTTGGCAATAGAAATACATCATCTGTGAAAATTTCAACTGTCCAACTATGGTTCATGAGATACAGCCTGTTGACAGACGGACTGACAGTGGAGACTTAGTAATCGGGTCCCGTTGCACCCGAACGGAACGAAAACGCGGAAATAAGTCGTGGCTTGAAAATCATCAAACTTTAACAAATGAATTTAACTTTAAAATCGACTCCTTAGTGTTGTTCGCCGGCAATAAAACTACAACATACATACGGTTAAAACACGAAAATTGTAAAGCGGAAAATATTAATACGTCGATATATTTTGTACCACGTTAGCCATTATCGATATGGCAAGTCCCATCACTATACGATCTCGCCAGGGGTGAAACCGTCCCGTGTTTACTTAGGCGTCCACTCGAGGCCCCTTCACGTGTCCCGAGCGGATTCCTTCGACCAGTGAGGTGGTTTTAACCTTCTCGAAATGCTAACGTAGCGAGAGTATCGACTTGTGCCCAGCGCGGACTGTCGCGCTTTTATTGCGTAACTATCGACCCGCCCCGGTTTCGCACGCGTGCAATGTATATTATACATATAAACCTTCCTCTTGAATCACACTATCTGGTAATAACCATTTTTAACCGACTTCAAAAAAGACGGAGGTTTCTCAATTCGACCGTATATATTTTTTTTTTTTTACGTGTGTTCGCGGATAACTTCGTCGTTTATGAACCGATTTTGATGATTCTTTTTTGTTGGAAAGGAGATATCCCAAGGGTGGTACCATGATAAGGAAACCCGGATCTGATGATTGCTTCTCAGAGAAATCGAGGGCAATCCTCAAAAGTTATAGGTATTAACAATGTTTTTTAGTTTCCGGTTTCAAGTCGGTTTTTTTTGTTGTACTTAAAAATACTTGTTTATGTTTGATACATCAGAACTTTTGACGGAGTGAAAAGAGTTTTGTTTTTCGTTGGTAAATATTTTTTTCTAACGAAAAACAAAACCTGCGACTCCTCTGCAATCCGTCAGGTGTTATAGATGACCACTTAACATCAGGTGAACCGCCTGCACGAATGACAAGTTATCACATTTAAAAAAGCAATAAAAAATCGCGTAACCTTATTGGTGAGTAAACCGTATAAGGAATTGTACAAATGGTCAGTTTGGAGCGTCTTTGTTTGTCCATTGTGTCATTAAGTTGTTAAAGTCAATTATGTGCCATTTGAAATGTTCCATTGTCGATGGTAGCATATGTTTACGATCTTAATACACGTTGAGGGTGATTAACGGTCATTATCTTTGATATGTACCTGTGGTTCCACATTAAATGACTCACTGGGCAATGCTGGCATTGAATTGTTTTGCCAAGCTCTGTCTAGAAGACTCTGGATTGTACTCTGTTCTTAAATTCATTTAACTGTAGTCATTTAACGGTAATCGACGTCTATGAGAGTGCCCAACTTTTTTTTTTTATGCGAAAAGTTGCCAAACGAGCAGACGGTTCACCTGATGTTAAGTGAATACCGCCGCCCATGGACATCTGCTACACCCGAGGGTTTGCAGATGCGTTGACAACCTTTTTGGAAATTGGGCTCCGGCTACCTCACTCGCCAGACGAAACGCGAAAGTATTTGCCATACTTCCACCTTACGCCGATCTTCTGTGAGATCGTGGTACTTACCCGGACGAGCCTGCCCATTCGTGCAACAGCCGAGGCTGCTGCGTGGCTCTACCACCGTTGGAAACTTCGATTCAATACGAAAACAATGTTTTTTACGTGGCAAATGTGCTGGCGGTTCACCTGATGTTAAGTGATAACCGCCGCCCATTGACATTTGTAACACCCGTTGGGTTGCAGACGCGTCGCTACCTTTTAATAAAGTTACCCAAGGCTACCTCACTCACCAGACGAAACGCAGGAGTGCAACACTTCCACTTGACGCCGGTCTTCTGTGAGGTCGTGGTACCTACCCGGATCAACCTGCCCATTCGTGCAACCAGGGAAGACTGTTGCGTGGCCCTACCACAGTTTGTTACGAGTTATTTTTCTTGAGTGTATACGTTTTTAATGGTGAATTTATATATAAATATATATTTCATACATTGTATATATCATTCACATTAGTAATGAACTTTTTCTTTTATTGCACCTACCACAATTTATCTCCACGCCCCCGGTTGACTGGGAGAGAATGCCTAAAGGCATTAAATTCGCCCCTTGTAATCCTTGATTAAGGTAATTGCAATAAAGTATAAATAAATAAATAAATTACATATTTCTTTTCAACCGAGTTCAAAAATGGAGGAGGTTCTCAATTCGACTGCTTTTTTTATGTTTGTTACTTCAGAACTTTCAACTGAGTGAATCGATTTCGATGATTCTCTTTTATTAAAACATTAAAACATGTAGAAAAAGTACGAAAAGATTGCCGCCGCTGTGGGAATCGAACCTACGTCTTCGGCATTCGCGGCCTGACGCTCTAGCCACTGAGCTAAACGGCTGATAGCCACAGCGACGGAAATCTTAACGCCTTCTTTCTACATTGTTATTTAGCATTTGAAGCAATGCTTGGCGCATCTATTGTTATATCCTTTCCAGCATACAAACAATTTCGAATATCGTTTTACATCGATTTTCTCTTTTATTTGAAAGCTGTTGCTTCCCACGTGGTCCCATATTAATTTCATTGGTATTGGATCTTGTGCTCCGGAGACACGTAGGGAATTCCTGAAAATCAATTATGAAATGAATACAGATTGATATTTGAAGTCTGTTCTGTTTTTCGTTTATTAAAAAGTGACTTGAGCGCTGAACTGACTGTTCTTTCCTCACCTGCCTTAAAATCTCATTGAAAAAGGAATTATTTCCGCATTTCATGTTTTAAGGTTTAAACGGAAACTAAATAAAGATTAAATGTAAGAGACCCTAATGGTAGAGGCGTAATACGGTAGACGACCCTACGTGTTTGCTAAACGATCGACTTTGGCGCGGAAGGTCCTGGGTTCAAATACGCACGGGAGACGA